GGAGATCACTTGGATTGTACGAGCTGGCTGGATCCCACGAACTCGAGACTGGAGATAGTCGGGCATCGCCTAACGTTTGTAGCATCGTCCCTCGACTGCTCGATCCGGCACCACGCTCGGCACCGCCCCCATCGAGATCCAAATTGCGACTACTAGCGACGTTCTTTTGCTTCGTGAAGTATCGACGCTTTTCAACCTCATCGCGTACACCATCAAGCAGTAGATGGAACTGAGACCGATACCTGCTCTCATCGTAGTCGTACTCGATCCTGCCTTCATCATGACGCAAACCAACGATTGCTGGTTCAAACGGAATAATTTGTCGCGTGTACAGATACACCTGCAGATTTGCATCGACGATGGTGCCTTCAGTCGAGACAGCCAAGATGGGTGTACCGACCTGTTTAGCCAGTGCCAATTCCTTCAGACACCACTCCGACGACGCGTAGTCTTCTGTGAGGATACACAACACCATCGATGCGTTGGTGATGCCACGCGCAATCTCTTCCCGCCACACTGCTCCGCCACCAATCCCACTCGGGTCCATCAGATCCAACCAAGTGGTGATGTTCGCTTCTTCGAGAGACTGGCGTAGTTTTCGAGCGAACTCCAAGTGCGAGTGTGTGTAGCTAATCATGACGTCTCGCTGGCCAGCAGCTCGCTTCAACTCGAACAATAACCTTGTGGACGCAGTGCAGTCAAGTGGACGCAGACCTTCGTTATTCATCCGCATGAGGTCTCCTCCGTTGGAAAGAGCAGCCAGCGCAGATGAATGGTTCTCCTCTCGGACAGCAATATGTAGTGCCGTGTCTCCTGTGGTGGGCAGCTGGTAAGCAATGTCCCCCCCTGCTGTAGTTAATTCGCTAATCAGTTCTCTCGACGCATCCAACGCCGAGGCAGCACACATAAGAGGCGTCATGAATTCTCCGTCGGTCAAATTGGGCTCAGCACCAGCACGAATCAATGAATGCACCACCTCCAGCTTGTTGAGTCTTGCAGCCCAATGTAAGGGAGAACGACCACGTGAGTCCTGGAAGTTCGGGTCCGCTCCAGCCTTCAATAGCGCATCAACAGCCTCTGTCGACCCACTGACGGCTGCCCAATGTAAGGGTGTTCTCCGGTTAAGCCCCACGTACCCCATTTCACCTAGACAATCAATATCCGTTTTCCGCGCGATGAATTTTCGTACAGCCAGCACGTTGTTGCGAGCCGCTGCCAGGTGGAATGGCGTGAGTGCGACATCACCGCCCCACTCCTCGAGTTCCTGGGCCACAGCGTAATTACCTCCAACATACGCTAACTGCAATGGTGTCATAGTATTCATGAATCCCGGGTCCGGGATGACTAGTGGATCAGCACCGTGGAT